AAAAAGAAAAGAAAAAAAAAAAAAAAAAAAAAAGGGGTAACAGACTTTGGCGAACTAGCTGCCCCGACTTACGACTCAAACAGCACAACTTAATATACCCACGTTATATTCCAAAGACTATTGCAGATATATTGGTAGTAATAAGGCAGAAAAATGAGCATGTTATCAAACAAATATATATTCCAAAGACGATATTTGTTATGCACAAACACATATGTGAATCACAAGACAACCAATAAAAATAACATTTTTATTGGTAACAGAGATATATCATACGGATGTAATAGAACAACTTTAGAATTTCTCAACTTCGAACACCAGTTTTCCGTCAAGGATGGCAGCATGAAGAATCAAAATATCTGTGAGAAAAATGACATCAATTATATGACAATAATGCAGAATAAATAAACTGAATTTGAAGACATACAGTACCTTGGGATATCTCAGAGAAAAGAATGGAAACACCAGAGAGGCGAAAGAGAAACATCCCAGTACCCTCCAAGCTTCGTCCTGAGCAAAAACAAAAGTGAAATCAAAATCACCGATGTTTCTACACTTTTGGTCAGGGGAAACAAAAATTAAAAGCCTGGAGTGGAAAGTAATTGAGCCAAAAACTGCCAAGGAAATAAATCATGGGAGATTGTGATGAGGTGAGGTGGAATTAAGGGGTGGGAAGACAGTTTTCTGAGTGTGGGAAGTTTTTGCAAAAACTTCGATGATTAAGGAAACCCAATTCCTCGACATATTTCCCTCTTTTCTGATAAATATCTGAACGTGGTGGTTATTTTTTGTTCAAATTTTCTTATTGATCATTAAATAAATGGAATGGATATTTAAAACAAAAAATCAAAATTGAAAAAGTTACAAAACAAAAAAAGTTGCCGAAATATGAAATAACAAAAATGCCCCTAAGTTTAGCTCTAGGGTTATAGTCAAAATATATTCCTTTTATATATAAGATGGATGGCTTGTCGTTTTATTTTATACTAATTATGTTTATTTTTTTCTCTTCTAGTTTTGTAATTTAATTTTTATTTTTTTCTTTCTTACCTCAATGGAATAGTTCTATGCTTTCTTTGTCGTTAGTTTTTTGCCAAATGAGTTTCTGTACTATAAGATTGTATAAATAATATAGTCACTGTGATTCAAATCTCACTAATGAATTTTATTATAATAATGAAATATATTTCTTATTATAATTGTAATGTATACTTCCCATTGTAAAGAACTTGAATTTAGTCAAAAAAATAAAAGATCATATATTAAATTAATCACGTGCAATGCGGCACTTAGATATCGGGCTGACAATCGGGCCACGTGAGCCGAGCTTGGGTCGACTCAAGTCACCATCGGACCTCGTTACTATAGGCTCAAGCTCACATACCATCGAGCCTCATTAGTATAGATTCAAATTCGACTCATGTATTTTTTCAGGTTTCGGGTTTATATCGGACCCCATAACTATATGACTGTAATGAGTGATAAACAAGATTTACCTCCATTGAAGCCAATAAAAAATAATCCTAAACGATCTTTGCAAGTTATTGGAAAAAGTTAAAAACAAGAATGGAAGAAGGAAAAGAAATTACTAACTCTTATTATTGGAAACGTTTTATATTCTCAAACCTCGTGAAAAACTTAAGCAATTGGATTTATGTGGGTATTTTGCATTTGATTCCTACTTTACTTATTGCAAAATAAAATAATCTTATACGTTCGTATTTTGTATATTGTCATAGCATTAAAGTAATAAATATATTATATATTATATTATTAACCTAATCGGTCGGAGCTTATTCGGATTGAGCCATAGTAAGCTCACACTCGACTCATAAATAAATCCGTTTTAGTAAAACGGCTCAAATTGAATCCGTCTCACTAAAGAATAGACTCGACTTAAATATAATTCGGCTGAGCCGTCGGTCCTACTTACATAAGGATTGATTGACATCGTTCAATTGGATCCACATTCAGATTCAGCCCGGCAAGAAAAACCCGGTCTCGACTGTTACCACTTTTGTGGTCGGGTCGGATCCGGATTCACCCACATATACAATTACCCATCCATCCATTTCGAGTCTCGTCGTATTCAATTCATATTATTTTTTTACACATATAGATACAAAATATATTGCAGGCAGACAATCTTCCCCTTTTCATCCTCCGCTTAACCCCTTTTTCCTCCCCATCACCAAACCCTAACCCTAATATTCTCCAATTCACCCTAGATTTCTTCCGATTCTGCACAATTTCGTGATCTCTGTTCTCCGCCTCTGTAAAATTGGTTAGGGTGCAGAGGAAGGACAAACATGGATTCACAGGCGAACAATCTCTACGAGACGGCGTCGCAGCCTGACACCGGGAACGATGCCTACACCTTTCTGGAATTCAACACCCAGGGCGAAGAGGACTTCGACTACCCTGAATTTCAAGAGCTCTCGCAGCCAATTCGCTCATCTACCTCAGCCTGGCCCACACCCTCCGATTCTATTTCCCCCGCCGAGGCTCCTTCCTCCTCCGAACCCTCTCAGTCCGCTACTAAACCCCGCGGCGGCGGCACTGGCGGTGCAAATAACAATAATAACAGCAAGGAGACCGGGGTGGTGGAGGCTTTGGCAGCGGGGATGAGTGGCCTGAACTTTGAAGACACTGGCGGCGATGACGAGGTGTTCGATTATGGCAAGGGGGACTTTACTGAGCATGCTTGCAGGTATTGTGGGGTCACAAACCCAGCTTGTGTGGTGCGCTGCAATGTGCCGTCCTGTAGGAAGTGGTTTTGTAACTCACGAGGCAATACTTCTGGTTCTCACATTGTCAATCATCTGGTGAGTAGTTTTCGAAGGCTTAGCGAATTTTATAAGCCTTTTGTCTGGAGCATTTTTCTTTTATATAGAGGCAGTGTCATTCGAATTGTTCTTGATTTCCTATACATGGAATTTTATTTTTTCTTGATTTCCTATATATGGAATTTTAATTATAAAATTAGTCTGAAATTGTTAAAAGGGATTGAAAATGTAACTGCTTTTCTTTGTATGATACTAGTGATGTGAAGCCTGAGTTTCTGGATTAGTTCTTTTGTGTTTACTTTGTCTAATTAGAAATACCTTTCGAGTAACAAGCTTTTTTGTGGATGGAAAGGATTCTGGATATGCTTCCATTTTTAGGGGTTGAATTTCATCTGAATAATGGCATACTATTCTGCATTCTAGTTTAACGTAGATTGGTGAACTGTGATTTAAGAGGTGTAAGATTTATAAACTCGATAGATTCGCAGTTGTTAGTAGTCTTCTTTGAGATGAATTCCTTGTTTCTTCTTCATGTGATTATGTCACTAGGAATTTGAAGTATTAAAGTTTGCAATTAGGTCTAGTTACTATATGTTCATGATAAAACTGGAATAGGTCCAGTAATCTTTTCTTATACTATCTAATTACTTCGTTGTAGGTTATTTTTAATAAGAAACTTTAATTATGAATTAGAAAGATCCAAAATTGGAATGAGACACTTCTTCATATTATATTGGAATAATCCTAAATGTTAAAAAGATTGTATGTATCCTACTACTAGTTGCAATATATGTCGTAATTATCCTTAGTAAATTTGATGGCATTATACATCAATATAGGCTAACGAAAAGTTTGAGCAGTATTCTTTTTATCCAAAAGTTAGATCTTTGACAAATATAACATCAGGATGTCAGCTTTAGAATTCCATACTTAGTTCAGCAAAGTATATATAAACTCTTGAAAAATAATATGCTGGACGCAAGTCAGACCTGGAACCAGACAAAAGAGGCTAGCGATATCAAGTTTATGTAAACTTGGTTGTCTTGGCTTAATACAACCCTGTAATACATATTATTTTAGTTGGGGTTTCAGTTGTTCCATGAAAGGGTTGCCTTGTCTTGAAGGGTCACTGGGACACTATAATAAATGTTTTCTGCAAGATACATGCTATTTGACACAATCATTTACTGGTTCACATATCTTTAATATGGCCCCGTACCTTATTTATGCCATGGCTTTGCATTATCTAGCTAGAATGGATTATCTTTGTTTACTGTGTCTATGTGTGTTCGCTGTTTTATTTATACATCTATAAACTATTTTTTCAGGGGTTTAAATTTGTGTTTTGAAGAAGAGGCGTTAGAATCCTTTTTTCGCGTATCTACAATGTTATTCTTTTCTGACTTGACTTGCTTTGATGTTTTTAGGTGAGAGCAAAGCATAAGGAAGTTTGTCTTCACAAAGATAGTCCCCTGGGAGAAACAATTCTTGAGTGTTATAACTGTGGTTGTCGAAATGTTTTCCTTCTTGGATTCATATCCGCAAAGACAGAAAGCGTTGTTGTTCTGCTTTGTAGGGAACCTTGTCTTAGTGTTAATGCATTGAAGGACATGAACTGGGACTTGAGCCAGTGGTGTCCACTTATTGATGATAGATGTTTCTTGCAGTGGTTACTGAAGGTTTGTGTGTCTATATTTCATGTGGCAGTGTAGACTTCATATTGCTCTAGTGGATTTCTTATTTGTTTTAAAAGCAGGTCCCGTCTGAGCAAGAACAGTTGAGGGCTCGACAAATTAGTGCCCAGCAGATAAATAAAATAGAAGAACTTTGGAAGTCAAATCCTGATGCTTCCTTGGAAGATCTTGAGAAGCCTGGGGTGGATGATGAGCCTCAACCTGTAGCTTTGAAGTATGAAGATGCTTATCAGGTACTCTTTCAGATTTATGGTAGCTGAACACAATTCTGTTCTGCGTATTATTGTTAACACGCCAAATTTTACTTTGTATCCTTCACTAATTATAGTGATTGTTGCATTTCCTTTACAGTATCAAAATGTTTTTGCACCATTGATCAAGCTTGAAGCAGACTACGATAAGGTATGACCACACCTTGTTGCTGTACTTTTATACAGTTCTCGAGATACCCAATGAAAAAACAATACCCCCTGCGCTCCAACTTTGAATGTCCATTTCTCAACCAACCATACTTTTTGACAAGAGTTGGGAATTTATTCATTTACGGTTAAGAGTGGTGAAGAGTTGATAGTGTAACATCATTATTTCCAAATGAAAGGGCAATTTGAAGAGAAACTTATCATATGAGGAATGAAACATTATTTATGAAATTCAAAAAAGTAAACAAATAGGAAACACAAACATTCAGTTTTGGACTAAGAAAGTGGACTGAAAAATCTCTGACCTTATTGCTATTAGGTTTGTTACATTATCTTTTCCATTTAGATCAGTGATTTAGCAGTTGGAGATTTGATAATTTTGACCAGTTCAATTTTGCTATGGATGGTCTTGGGATTTGCAAAGATAGTAAAGCAGCAAACACAGAAATGAAAGAACTAATTTTAACAATTACTTTCCACAAAATTTTGATGCATTTTACTAATTTGAATGAAGGTCTATTTGAATCTACACGTGAATCCAAACTAAGGACACAACATCTGTCCATTTACTCTTATTTACGCAACAGAGGAAAAAAAATCTCATGTTCTATCTAGAATCCAATGTCTTTACTGAACCTTACAAGTTCTAAGAGTGTTTTAATTGCATTTACTTGACAGATGATGAAAGAGTCTCAAAGCAAAGATAGTATCACTATTCGATGGGATATCGGTCTTAACAAGAAGCGAATTGCTTATTTCGTCTTTCCTAAGGTAACCTATTGTCCTTTTAGTTAAACACAACTGTACTCCACCTTTGTTTTTTTTATGAAAAATCTATGTTTCCTGTAGGAAGATAATGAGTTACGCCTTGTACCGGGTGATGAACTACGACTGCGTTATTCAGGTGATGCAGTTCATCCCTCGTGGCAGTCAGTGGGTCATGTGGTATGACATCTTTCTCTGAACTTTAAATTTTCATGTCTTTCTGAATCTTTTTCAGTTAGCCTGTTGGTGGTTTCTTGAATATGCATGACCTGCTATCCTGGGTCCCAGTTATTGTTTTCCGTGATGATAACTGGGTCATACTCTGATTTGCTGTTTACTGGAAGAAGGTTATCAAGGGGAACAAAGAATGGTGTAATTTTAATTTTTAAAGAATGTTAACAATTTGTTTTGCTTCTCAGATAAAACTGACAGCACAAGAGGAGGTTGCTCTTGAGCTTGGTGCCAGTCAGGTATCCTTATTCACGACAACAGATTTCATTGTTAATGACCAAAAAAGAAAATTATCTGATTCACTGTTTTAGCAGGGTGTTCCTGTTGATTTGACCCATGGTTTTAGCGTCGACTTTGTTTGGAAGAGCACGAGTTTTGATCGGATGCAAGGGGCCATGAAAACATTTGCTGTGGATGAAACCAGTGTCAGTGGGTCAGTGACAGGATTCTTTTTTTTTTTGTATAGAGTTCTTATTAGCGTATACATGTTTTTCTTGTTTTGAAAGTAATTATGAAGTCAGAGAGCAATGGTTAAAAATTTGCATTGGAGTTGGTTTACTCCTTGTTTGAAGCCTTTTTCTTGGATGAGGAATTTATGATGTATTCTACCATGCTCTTTGACATCCAAAACTGGACAAGAAGGAAGGGCAGAATGCTCTGATTTTAGCTGTCTTCTTCAAACCATTTGTTGTGTTCTTTGGTCAATTTGTGTCAGATTGTGCTTTCTGCGTTACGCTGCAGCATTCAATATTTTATTGCAATAAAATGATTTTAAGGTGTTCCTACTGGTTTTTGATTTAATATTATAAAGTCTCTGTTTTGGTTTTTAACTTGTTATTTTTTTATGAAATATCTACATTATTTTTTATGAAATATCTACATAGTATTAGTATTGTTTACATTTTATTCTCTTGATTTTAGAAGAAGTTGGTGGGTGTCCTGGTGAAAGAGATGGGTTGTGTGTTAATTGAGCTATTTTTTTTTTTTTTTTTTTGTGGATCAACTAGTTTGTAATTGATATAATGTCTATTTCTTGTTTGATGCACTTTACTTTGCTTTAATAGAATCTATCCTTTGTTCAACTGAAATTCTCTGTACACGCAGGTACATTTATCATCATCTGCTTGGGCATGAAGTTGAGATGCAGATGGTTCGTAATACATTGCCCCGCCGTTTTGGTGCTCCGGGTCTTCCAGAACTCAATGCATCTCAAGTATGGTCACGTTCTCTTTCATGCCATCTTTGTTGTATCTATTGGATGCTTGGTTGTCTTGAGGAAAATATTCAGTCTTCTTTCACGTCGTCTAAATCTATGATGCATATAATCTTTCTGATCGGGAATACATGAAGTTAATTTGTTTATTCGTTGATTAATTTAATATCAATTTGACTTAAATATCACCAAGCAGTATTAATTTAATATCAATTTAATACATAGTAGTGTTTAGAAAAAGCTTTTTCTTGTGGGTCTTCCAATGAAGCTTAATCAGCTCATGAAAATTTCCAAAAATAGTGTTAATGAGGGAGATTGTTCTCTGTACTCTTATTTCTTTGTTAATATTTTTATTCTCGACTGGACTTTGTGATGACCATAGGTCTTTGCTGTCAAAAGTGTCCTGCAAAAGCCTATAAGCCTAATCCAAGGTCCACCCGGAACGGGTAAAACTGTGACATCTGCTGCAATTGTGTATCACATGGCAAAACAAGGCCAGGGACAGGTTGAGTTACTTTTTGTTTCTTTCTTTGTAGGAGGTTATTGCTATTTTTTATCTCTGTACACTCATAATTAGTTTTCCATTCAGGTTTTGGTTTGTGCTCCAAGTAATGTGGCTGTAGACCAGCTAGCTGAAAAGATAAGCGCCACTGGTTTAAAGGTGTCAATTTTATACTCTTGAGCGATTCTTTCATCTACAAGTGCAAGTTTCGATATGAATATATAGCTTCATGATTCATTTGCTCCTCAAATTTGAATGATCAGCACTCACTATTCATTAAACTAATGATCATAAATGAATTATTGATCTACGGGTCTGTTGCCATAGTTCAAGTGGGGGAAATTGATACTTCTCTCTATAGTGTTAATAGGCTACGTGCAATTATCATTAATCATGCCTTGTTGATTTGGTTTCTTTTTACTTGGCTGATGACATCACATACCTGTTCTCCCTCTGATTCTTACAATTCTTTACCCAAGCTAGAGAAAAGTGGGTGATTTAGAGAGGATCAAATACCATATTTTACCATGTGTTTTGGGATTTATTTTCTTCTCATTTGCAGTCTTATGTTTTTTCTTGATAAAGGTTGTCAGACTTTGTGCTAAATCAAGGGAAGCTGTTAGTTCTCCTGTGGAGCACTTAACCTTGCACTATCAGGTTCGGTTACGGAATATTATTTTATTTTCTGAATCTCATTTGTTGTGTTCACCATATTTGGATGCATTTTTTGACCCTGTTAGTTTTTCTTCACAGGTTAGACATCTCGATACATCTGAAAAGAGTGAACTTCACAAGTTACAGCAGCTGAAAGATGAACAAGGTCTGTGGTTTATCCTTTTATCTTCTATCCTTTTTCTTCTCATGTTTATCCTTACTTTTTGTGGGTCTTTGAGTGAGGTTGCATCTTTGGATTGGTTTCAATATTGAAGTGTGCTTAGTTTCCTCATTGCATTTTCAACTATGTTATTGTTTGAATATGTTCAGACTTGAGCTCAACTGAATTCGGTAACATCGGTGAGATAGTTAATGAGGGCCGAGGGGTTCTGCTTATAGCTTTGAGAGGGAAAAAATGGGACCGGGAGGGAGGACGCATGCTCTTTTTATTATACTCTACTATCGGCATTGAGACATTCGATGTGTCTGTGCTTTGTTACTTAGAAATTGGTACATAAAAATGGTTTTTTATTTGCTTGTTCAACAGTATAAAGGCCTATGACATAAAACCTAAGTTACAAAGTTTCAATTTGCTGGAGCTGAGCCACCTTATCAATATCAGGAAATAACTGTACGTCCATGGTTTGAAAACAGAACGAGGCACTATAACAAATTTTAAATAAATTTCTGCAGATTAAACTTTTTCCGTAGTGAAGTGACTTAGGTTTCAATTTTTTGATAGATAGACTTATTATGCTCTGATAACATCACTACATAAAACCGGAAAAAAAAGAAGAGTTCTGTTTCGTCTGAGAGCTCTTCAGTGCATCTTATATTGGTGCTTGGGGACGTGCGACAGTTCAACACTTACCTGTTTCACATAAGAACAAAACATGGATTGATTGCTCTAAGTGTATTGTTTGTTTTGAATTATTAGTTACATTTGTAAATGTTTGTCTTAAGGTTCATGCGTTGAACATCTGGACTTTAACACTGAGTTTTTCCATCCCTTGTCATTTTTACAGGAGAGTTATCTAGTAGTGACGAGAAAAAATATAAAGCGCTCAAGCGTGCAACTGAACGGGAGATATCTCAGAGTGCTGATGTCATCTGTTGTACATGCGTTGGGGCTGGGGATCCCCGGCTAGCAAATTTTAGGTTCCGCCAGGTAAATTGGGCTATTGCAAACCCCGGGGTTCTGTTGATGACATTTTGTGTGTTGTCGGGTGGGGGTGAGGGATGGGGTTGGTTGGATTCATTTAATTATCTTACCCTTTTTTTTTCCCAATTTTTAAACTGCAATTCTTTTGTAGGTTCTTATTGACGAATCTACTCAAGCAACCGAGCCTGAGTGTCTTATCCCTCTGGTTCTTGGAGTGAAACAGGTAACTGAGGAAATTAGCTTTCTATATATTTGTTTATATTACATTCACTCTGACAACCAGATTTGCAGGTTGTTCTTCTGGGAGACCACTGCCAGCTTGGTCCGGTCATTATGTGCAAGAAAGCTGCCCGGGCTGGTTTAGCCCAATCTCTGTTTGAACGACTTGTGCTGCTTGGTGTGAAACCAATTAGATTGCAGGTGATTGTTATGTGCTGTTTCCATTTGTGATGGTTTTGTTTGTTTCCGAACTTCTTAAATTTTCTTTATGTCTCTAATATTGTGTAAAACCGTGGGATGATATCTGGTGACTATATAAGTTTTGCATAACCACTCTCCTCCTTCCATTTCCTTCCCCAACCCAAATCAGAGAAGGGAAAGACCATGCATTAATAACAGCAATAATTTTCTTGCGATACTTACAAATCTATGTCACATTGTACAGTTTTCTTTTGCTTCTGTTGTTCTCTGTGATGTATATATGAAGTATACTTTGTAACTATGTATGCACTTTACTTCCTGAAGCATAAAGTGTTTGCATACTTTGTCAATTAGGCCACACTGTCTATATAGTTTTTGATAACTGTGCGTATTCATATTTGTGTTTTCATATGATTGTGAACCTGTAACGTTATTATCTTTGGATTTGTCTTTGTAGGTTCAATATAGGATGCATCCAGCTCTTTCAGAGTTTCCATCTAACAGCTTTTATGAAGGTACTCTTCAAAATGGAGTGACCATAAACGAAAGGCAATCACCCGGCATTGATTTCCCCTGGCCAGTACCAAACCGTCCTATGTTCTTCTATGTACAGGTATATTAAAATGATTTATGTTCATAATTTAGTTAAGATGATATTAATGGATGATAGTTCCTTTGTGTGGCTTATGCTGTTTTATCATGGAATCATTTACCGATAGATAAAAGAACTCCATACAATATCTCCTTTAAGTTGGATGTTGGAGAAATTACATCATCTATTCTCCTTTTATTCCCTTGCATTTTAGTTCTAAAAAGATTAGTTAACTTTCTTAGTTGACTTCTACAGATGGGACAAGAGGAGATAAGTGCTAGTGGAACATCATACCTAAATAGGACTGAGGCTGCAAATGTTGAGAAAATTGTGACTACATTTTTGAAAAGTGGTGTTGTTCCTAGTCAGGTTTGTTGGAAACTTCTCTATCTTTAAGGTTTGCTGCTTGGTTCAATTTTGGCTTAGAGACAATGATTTTTATTTTTTTTTATGTTGCATGCTGCAGATTGGTGTTATAACACCTTATGAAGGTCAGAGAGCATACATTGTGAATTATATGTCCCGAAATGGTGCTTTACGTCAGCAACTATACAAAGAAATTGAGGTAATTTGGTGATACTGATTAATTGATTTTATCTTTATCTACCCAAGATGGAAGCTGAAAAATGTTTATTTCTCAGGTAGCAAGTGTAGATTCATTCCAGGGAAGGGAAAAAGACTATATAATTTTGTCTTGCGTGAGGAGTAATGAACATCAGGTGGGTTCTCAAGCTTGTGCAGAATATTCTCCTTAGCATACTACATTTCTCATACTTCTAACTCGTGCCTTGTTTGGTTTTGGGGATGGTATTAGCTCATGATTGACGTTGGCTATTTGTCAGTCCCTTGGGATCGAGTAGTTTAAATTTGTGTTTGCTTCCTAAGATTTGTGGCGAGATAATTTAGGATATGGGGTGCGATTGCTCGTATGTGTGTGTGTTTGTTTTGGGGGGTTTTTATAAGTCTCTTTTTCTATGTTTTCCTCCTCTCCCTTTCAACCTTCTTGTCTTCTTCACCGTTAATCATATCTTTGCCTGCTGCCAGCAGATCCGTCTTCATTCCTTTCTTTTCCATTTCTTCCCTCTTCTTGTCTCTTCCTCTGCAGAATCTTGCGCATCATGGATTTGCAATCACCTTTTTTCTTCTGTCTCCTTTTCTTTCCCTCTTCTTCTTTCCTGTTTTCTCTTTCTCACTTCGGCTCTTCAGGAGGACTTCTCTTGGTCTTTCCCTCTTTTCTTCTGGTTTTCTGCTTCATTTAGTTCACTGTGAAAGTCATCGTTGTAGCCATCAACATAGTGATGCCCGAACATAACGAAGTAAACCATATGTTTTCTTACAAGAATTTTTTGGGGAAAAATGTATCTGAGGTGGGCTCCCGAAGATTTGATATCTAATCCAGGTTGGGTACTGTATCCAGGCCTGTGGCTTGTTAGGCGATCCACCCTATTACCATGTCTAAAGAATTGCAGAGAGTCCTATCCAATCAGGATTTGATCATCCCAATCCTGCAATAGATTTGATCAAACCCTACATGTTCCTGTATGTACTTTCATTTTAGATTACAGCGCCTGCACCAATTTCTCTTAATCTCAACTTATCAGCTGGTTCAGAAACTACAATAAGTTTTCGATTTCCTCGTATATGTGAAGCCTCATCCTGGTCATGGTACATAACTTAGGTTCACATATCTTGCTATAGTGGGTAACACCTGTAAAATTTGCTTATGATGTTTGGAACGGGCATCTTCGAAGAGATTTCACAAAAGATTTGATGAAATATGTAATTTTAGGGTTGCTTTAGTGCTGTGGATATCTGGAACTTTTTGCTTCTTTGTACATTTTGTTGTATTATTGTTCCCTGATCTAAAACTCATTTTTTTTATGTGCAGGGCATTGGTTTCCTCAATGATCCACGCCGGCTTAATGTTGCTCTCACGCGTGCTCGATATGGTATCGTTATCTTGGGAAATCCTAAAGTTCTAAGCAAGCAGCCTCTATGGAATGGCTTATTAACACACTTTAAGGTAGTCACTTTTTATTTAGTTCCTTTTTCCTCCTGTCATAAAAAGGAGGTTCTAGTTTTTTGGTAACCTCCATTATGAAAATATGCTTTTTCAAGCTAACGAATTTGGTTTCTTGATAGTTTAGCGCTTGAATTTTTTTACTCAAATTGTTGTACAATCCTATTGCAATATGTTATTAATGTTCTATTTCTTCGGAAATTTTGGTTCATTAGGAACATGAATGCTTGGTTGAAGGACCTCTGAGCAACCTGAAGCAGAGTATGGTTCAATTTCAGAAGCCTAAAAAGGTAAGCGTTGGGTAAAACAGCTGCTAAATTGAAATACTACCTAATTATTTTTCAATTTGAAGTAGATATTTTAGTTGAGTGTTTTTGAATGCTTTGACATGGGTGTTGTGGTTTTAATGTGGCACAGATATATAATGATCGCAGACTTTTCTATGGTGGTGGACCAGGAATTGTTCCCAGTGATGCATTTGGTGCCTCAAGCTCAAACACTGATAGGAGGGGTCCTCGCTCTAGGGGTATGTTATTTCTATTAGTCTTTTTTCATAGCGGTACGAGTTGTCCAAATTCTTATGATGAGCATCATTGAAATTTGTTTGCTGCTAGAAATAGCTTGACTTAAATTATTGCCTTCTTTAAGCTTAAATTATTGTTCTCTAATAAGAGATTTTAAATTGAGTAAGTTGTGGAATCATATTGGAAAGGTAAATCATTTATTCTTGCAGCAGGTCCTTACATGCCTACTGGCCACCCATCACGTTCAGTCTATGTGCCGTCTAATAGCATGACTTCCATCTGAACAACCAGGATTCCAGTTTTCTCTTTTTTGCTTTTCCTTTTCTTTTTCTTTTTTTTCGCCCGAGGCTTGGTATAACTCATTCCTACCTTGCTTCCCTATAGATAAATTTATCTAGTTTTGAAGGAAACATTGTATTCCATTGTTGTCACTAGGTTTTTAAATGACAGCTTTAGTGGTAGAATTTTTTTAAAATCTCATTTTCTCATACCTACATATCAACAACATTTCATTGAGGAACTCTAGATTTCGAAATCTGTAAAGAAAAGCATACAATTTTAGCATTAATGAACAAATTTGAAATTTCTAAGAAAAAATTTCCATACATTATGTAACATACTACAGTGAATTCTTGGTTACTGAAAAAGGTAAAAAAGAATGTGAGATTATATCTCCTTGACGTATTTGTAGCATTTAACTGATATCGTATATATTTGACAAACAAAATGTGTTTTAATGGAGTTCATCTCTTTAGAGTGGACAAAAATGAATAGTATCACTTCATGAATATAAAAAATTGTCATATATTTCAAATTTGGTTTCTGCCTTATAATAGTAATTAGTATGCTGTTTGCTTAATAGAGTGATTTGACTGATATAATTGGAGCTTATCTAGATTTGAAATGTAGATGATAAGATCTTTCATTAGATGTGGCCCAACAGCATGTCTATTGAAATAGGGGTCTGCTAAAGTTCAACCTTCGTTTTGCCTTTCATATGTAATGTTAAGACCTTTATTATTACAGGAGTATATGGCCCATGGGTCGCAAGGATTATTTACGCAGGCTCCATACAATGATCAATCTCAAGATGATGCTTCTCAGAACCATTTTGGTGCAAGTCAACTTCAGTCACAGGTTCCTTTCTCTTTTGGTGCATAATATTGCTAAATTTAATGACTGAAGTGGCAGATATTTTAACTAGTTGAAGTTTATGAAAGCTGAAGTTTTATGAAGTCTCAGATGGAAATTCTTGAAAAGATTCATAGAATTTTGCTTTTACCTTGAGCAATTTTTGTTCTCATCCCTCTTTTCTATGTCTGATAGTTGATTTACTCGTTTTGTTACAGAGTTTGCTGAACCCCCTATACTCGCAGCCTTTTGCTCACTACAACTCACAGCCGATAAATGTACAAAATCCTCAGCAACATCATTCGTCCCAGCAGGCTCAAGGTTCCCAAAATCACTACAATGGTTGAGTATGTGACGGGTAATTGTCTTTGCATTTCAGCAATCTGGTTAGTGCTGTCATGAGTGGCTGTATTATCTTCCCGTAAAGAGATATGGTTCTAGAGTTTGCCAAAGGTTGATTAATGACACAACACTTTTTGAGGATGATGATTTTGAAACACAACTAAGAAGAGGTTAGTTTGATTGAAAAACAAGGGTTCTCAGTTTGAGGCAAATTACTCGGCTGCACAACTAGAGCTGAGGAGAAAGATAAACCCCCGATGATGTTGAGAGTTGAGAGAGAGAATTTACACGGCATATGGTGTTGTCAGCACAGGCTCCAGGAACTGATTCGGTTACTTGGATTTTAAGTGGTGTGTGTGTATAAAATGGTAGAGCAGCCACTGCTGTAAAGTTTTATACGGCAATTCCCCCGTGCAGTTCTTGTCTCATCTCTCCTGACATGTAATTATTCTCTTATAATATTTTTTTTAATGTCGGATATGCGACTGTAATCTTAAATCTCAGCGATTGCAACTAGTATACTACTGTGATTTGCTAGGCATGTGTGATAAGCGTTTTGTTTGCTCGTGAATCATTATAATGAGTTCACATGGTATTTTATTTGGTTTTGAATCCTTCCTAGTTGAGTTTAGTGTTGTCATGGTCATGATCCTAAACATAGCTGTGATTTTTAGATGGTGGTTTGGGAGTTGGGGTGGTAAATGATCGGTACAAATGCACAATTTTTAGATCTGATTCAGATTGGATTAATGTGGATTGACTGCTATCTTGAAGGGCTCGTTTACTTTTGCGTATGCGATAAAAGAATGATAGATAGTCGAGTGATTGGATGATGGATATAAGAAACGTAGGATTACATTCCTATGGTTCCACTTGAAGAATTGGAAGAATTATACAATGGATATATTAGTATGACACGGTGGACTTTCACACCATTAAACTAACCAATGAGATGGCACCTATCCATGTGATACATGATATGCACATATGGTCTTCATTTGCATGGTTTTTGATAAGAATTCAAATTGTAGCTATGAACACTACATAACTAGCTTGTACACATGTCGTGTATATGAGACTTAATATTTTGTATAAATAGGTACTCTCATAATACGAATAATAACAACTTTCATTAGCAAATTTATTTATTCTCCTTCTGTTACAATTTTCTTTGTCTTTTAAACTTCTCAGTGCATATACATAATATCTTTAGTTTTCTATATAATATATAAGTTATATTTTATAACACGTTATCAGCACGAGTTTTTGCTCTACAAAATTATAGGCAAACATGGAGAACATCGACAAAAGAGAAAATTGCCTACTCGACAGTGCAACTACACACTCAATATTCAATAATAAAATATATTTCTCGAGTGTGACATTGTGCAAGCACAAGTTAAAACCATAGCAGGTTCCGCGGAAATAATAGATGGCTCCGGGAACGCAACAATTGTGTTGCCTAATGGTACCACTTTGCATATTGAAAATGCATTGATATCAGGTAGATCAAATAAGAATCTACTGAGTTTTAAAGATGTGAGACGTAATGGATATCATTTAGAGACACTAGTTGAAAATACCGTGGAGTGTCTCTGCATCACATCATATGTTATGGACAAAAGAATTGTTCATGAAAAACTCGAAGCGACAACTTCTGGAGTGTATTGTTTCCAAATTAGAGCTTTCGAATCCTATGCCACTATGCCATGGAAACTTGTTAATCCCAATATACACGGATTATGGCATGATCGACTGGGTCACACAGGAACGACTATGATGCGTAGGATTGCACAACATACAAAAGGACATCCATTAAAAGATACAAAAATCTTGATGTCTAATGAATATTTTTGTGAATCATGTTCACAAGGAAAGCTCATTATAAAACCTTCCATTGAAAAGGTCGGTTATGAATCACCATCGTTTTTACAACGCATTCATGGTGATATTTGTGGACCAATACACCCAGCAAGTGGGCCATTTAGATATTTTATGGTTTTAATAGACGCATCTTGTAGATGGTCCCACGTATGCTTATTATCTACGCGAAATGTTGCATTTGCGCGTTTGCTTGCACAAATTATTAAACTCCGAGCATATTTCCCTGATTATTCCATTAAAAACATAAGAATGGATAATGCCGGAGAATTTGCATCAAAGACTTTTGATGAGTATTGTGCAGCACTGGGAATAAATGTCGAGCACCCAGTAGCATACGTTCACACTCAAAATGGACTGGCGGAATCTCTGATTAAACGCGTCCAAATAATTGCTCGTACTTTGCTGATGAGATCTAAACTCACTAGTGCAGCATGGGGCCATGCAGTATTGCATGCATCAGCACTGATTAAATTACGCCCCACTGCTTATCATATGCATTCCCCAATGCAATTGGCATTGGGCTTTGAGCCCGATATTTCTCACCTTCGCACATTTGGTTGCGCTGTGCAAGTGCCAATTCCTCCTCCTCAGAGGACTAAAATGGGTCCCCCAACGTCGACTTGGCATATACGTTGGATTTAATTCACCGTCAATTATTAGGTTCTTAGAGCCAATGACGGGTGATTTATTTACCGCTAGATTTGCGGATTGCCATTTTGATGAGACTGTATTTCCATCGATTGGTAAAGATAAAAATATAATTGATAATGATAAACAAAAACTAATCGAGAATCTCACATGGTGTGAGCAACATTTATCTCATCTAGACCCACGTACCTTTGAATGTGAAAATGAGATCCATAGAATCATTCATTTACAAAATATTGCCAATAGACTTCCTGATGCATTTAATGATGCCAGTAAAGTTACGAAGTCTTATATTCCAGCTGTGAATGTTCCAGCTAGGATCGTTGTTCCTGAAGAACATCCGAAAATGAATGATGATCCTCCACGACAAAAACGGGGTAGACCTATTGGATCAAAGGACGTTGTTCCTAGAAAACGAAAAGGGAAAATCGATGAACCCTCGAACCAAGTGGTTCCTAGTGAGAATGCTCCAGATGAATCTGTTGAGCCTAATATCGAAAAAGCGATATCAAATTCCGGGAATACCGAGAATCCCATAAGTTATTGCAATGAAATATGGGATAGAAATGAGATAATCATCGATAATATTTTTGCATTATCGGTTGCACAAGAAATAATGTACGATGATTATGATAGTGAACCGCGTTCTATAATGGAATGCCGCCAAAGAAATGATTGGCCTAAGTGGGAGGAAGCAATAAAATCTGAATTGGCTTCCCTAGAAAAGCGGAAAGTATTTGGGCAAATTGTTCAAACTCCGGATAATATAAAGCCCGTTGGGTATAAATGGGTATTTGTCCGTAAGAGAAACGAGAACAATGAAATTGTACGATATAAAGCCCGCCTTGTAGCTCAAGGCTTTTCCCAGCGGCCTGGGATTGATTATGATGAGACGTATTCACCAGTGATGGATACGATCACTTTTCGTTTCCTTATAAATATGGTCGTCCAAGAGGGACTGGACATCGTCTAATGGACGTTGTAACGGCCTATCTATATGGTTCACTAGATTCTGATATTTATATGAAAATTCCCAATGGATTTAAAATGCCAAACTCTGGCGCTCCTCGTGAGCTGTACTCAATTAAATTGCAAAGATCATTGTATGGTCTAAAGCAATCTGGTCGCATGTGGTATCATAGATTGAGTGAATACCTTATCAAGGAAGGTTATAAAAATGATCCTATTTGCCAATGTGTTTTTATTAAACGATCAGAAACCGGATTTGCTATCATTGCGGTTTATGTAGATGACATGAACCTCATTGGCACTCCTGAAGAGTTGGCCAATGCTGCTGAATATTTAAAGCAAGAATTTGAGCTCAAGGACCTTGGAAAAACCAAACTCTGTCTTGGTATTGAGCTTGAGCATAAAATTAACGGCATACTTATACACCAATCTGCATATACTAAACGAGTGCTCAAAAGGTTTAATATGGAAAATTCTAATTCATTGAGCACTCCTATGGTTGTGCGCAATTTAGATCCTGAAAAGGATCCGTTCCGACCTAAAGAATTTAATGAAGAGATACTTGGCCCAGAAGTGCCGTATCTTAATGCTATCGGAGCATTATGTATCTAGCACAATGCACTCGACCTGATATCGCTTTTGCGGTAAATGTGCTTGCGCGGTACAGTTCTGAGCCTACCCGGAGACACTGGAATGGTGTTAAACATATTTTTCGATATCTCCGTGGTACTGCAGATTTGGGATTATTTTATTCGAAGAATGCAACTAAACAAGGGTTAGTTGGTTATGCCGATGCGGGATATAGATCTGATCCCCACAAAGCTCGCTCACAAACTGGATATTTGTTTTGTTATAATGGTGCAGGTATATCTTGGCGATCTACCAAACAGACATTGGTGGCCACATCCTCAAATCATTCTGAAATAATAGCTCTTTATGAGGCAGGCAGAGAATGTGTTTGGCTACGATCCGTTATTTCGCATATACGAAACTCCTGCCAATTACATCCAGTTACAGACACGCCCACAATCATTTACGAAGACAATGCTGCTTGTATAGCACAAACAAGAGGCGGATATATAAAGGGTGATAGGACCAAACATATATCACCAAAGTTCTTTCATACACATGAGCTTCAGAAGAATGGAGAGATCGATGTTCGACAAGTTCGCTCATGCGACAATCTTGCTGATTTGTTTACAAAGTCCTTGCCGACTTCTACATTTGAAAAGTTGGTATACGCCGTTGGAATGAGAAAAGCCAATGTGAAGTAATATTGATGAGCCATTTCGAAAAACTATTTGTTCATTTCAGGGGGAGCAATGGTGTGCTGCACTCTTTTTCCCTTATGACTGGTTTTGTCCCATTGGGTTTTCCAGCAAAGGTTTTTAATGAGGCAGCTTTTGCACACACCTTGGATTTGAGCCGATACAATGGTGTTACGTCCAAGGAGGAGTAGTATGACACGGTGGACTTTCACACCATTAAACTAACCAATGAGATGGCACCTATCCATGTGATACATGATATGCACATATGGTCTTCATTTGCATGGTTTTTGATAAGAATTCAAATTGTAGCTATGAACACTACATAACTAGCTTGTACACATGTCGTGTATATGAGACTTAATATTTTGTATAAATAGGTACTCTCATAATACGAATAATAACAACTTTCATTAGCAAATTTATTTATTCTCCTTCTGTTACAATTTTCTTTGTCTTTTAAACTTCTCAGTGCATATACATAATATCTTTAGTTTTCTATATAATATATAAGTTATATTTTATAACATATATAAATTAATTGAAATTTAAAGATAATACAAATTACTTAAATAACACTACTCGTATTGTTCTCTAGCTATCCTCTTTCCTATCTCACCATCATATGTCCGGAGATGCTTTTGACCAAAGTACTTTCAAAGAAAATTTCAAAAACAATAATAATGTTTGTTTATGTCTTACGAGGGGAAAAATTATTGTAATAGTCAAATCATGTGATGTGAAAAAGAAACTTTAGAAAAAGAATTTGTGAAATAAAGTAATCTATGTTTGCTTTTCGGTGAAAATAATTTTTATCTTAGCAGTCAAATCATGTTTCAAAAGAAGATAAATTTGTATTGGT